GAAACTAGCGGGAGAGCAGGATTTCTGAGAGTTGTGGGGCACTCTTGAATAACATGGAAAAATAAGATTTTAATTTCGCTTTTTAGAGAAGAATCTAGAGGATTTCAGTGGTTGTGTTTCTGGAAGTTAAGTAACACAACGACTGTCTCTAATTAAATAAGCAAAACCCTATTTTTCTTTCTTTTTTTTTGTCTTCCCTCAGAACTTGCTGTATAAAATTTGTATTGTGGTATTCTTATATACTAATTTTATTTGATATATTTTACTTCTGTAGAAACCTGATCACTGAGGTTTATAGTGAAAATACCATACTGAAGAACTTTTACTAGATTTGGTGTATGCTGAGTTCCAGGATAGTGAGTCAAGCCCATCATGTCAAATCACTTTAGAGTCTTTTGTTATTCGATATTCCAGCCCCACTTTGTGCAAACAATACCTTTGTGTCATTGGTTGATCATTCCTAGGTTAAGGTAGTCTGTGAAAATAAGGAGTAAGGTCTGTCTAGAATAATTCTTTAAGGAAGTCCACTATCTACTTTTCTCTAGCCGGAGACTTCCCCTTCAAAACTACTTTGCAAACATTTATTCATATTAAGAGTTATTTTAGTAATTGGTGTCTTAGGTTTCGTTTGTTTGTTTTGCTTTCCAAGCAGCATATGAATAAATGATTTCCTGAAGTCCAGTCAGGTTTGGTCAACTCATTTCCTTGATGTAGAAAAGTAGGGTTTGGTGGCTTTTAAAAATGTCCTTTGTTGTTGGTGGCTTTTGATTTTGGTTTTTTTTTTTTGCCATTTCACCTCCATCTAAAGGATTCACGGAAAAGCTCATTCACAGAGATGGTAGGGAAACATGGATTTTCTTGGAGACTTTAGTATGCAGATGAGAAGACCATAGACATAAAAGCCTTTAAATCCTGCAATTTACTCTTCCAGAATTTTCACACTTCACTTCTTAACCAGTCCACCAAGGGCTGGTTATATCTTGGAGGGTTTATAAAGTCTTAAAAAGAAAGTTAACATAGCTAAACAACTTGGTTAACGTTGCTACAAGTTACACGGCATTCTTTAACAAGCTGAAGCTATACCCAAATGAAGAAAATAAATAGAAAAGAATGCCTATCTGGCAGGTTATATATGTAAAAACACTATTTTCTATGTAAAAAATGAGTTGGAGGGAAAATTTACTGGCTCACGTGGTGCTAATTTTTAGCAATGGCTCTAGAGAAAGATACTGGTAACTACAGACCATTAGGCCTGATGGCCAAGCCAGGTGAACTAGTTAAGAAAAGAGTTAGTGAACAAATGAGTAAGTGTGACTTAGGGCAAGAAACAGGCAGCTTTTGTGAAGGGAAGCAATGCTTCAAGTCCCTCTGTATGGGGAGAGGCTCTCAAAGAAATTAAGCTACAGGGGCAAAGAGGCAGCTTCTCATGTGGACAAACGACGTATGAAAAGAGAGGAACCAAAAGACAGAACTGAATGCTCACTATTCATGGTGATGGGAGACAAATAGCAGAGTTCCTCGACCAGTGTGCTCAGAAATGTTCTGGGAAGGGGCATGAATGAAAGTTGCAGAGATTACTGTCAACACAAAGGCAGGACAAGGGAATACACCATGAAGCTGAGTGACTAAGCAACATATAACAGCAGAATCTCAGTGTAGACAACTGCACTGTGATACACAGGGGGAAATGATGGGGTCACAGCTGGCTGTACCCTTCTGGAGCAGTGTCATGGGGCTGTAATAGACGTTTCCACAAAAGCATCAATGTTCTGCTTGGCAGTGGTTCAAAAGCAAGCAAAACCTTAGGAGTTACAACGAAAGGGATAGGAACAACATTTTAAAAAACCCAACCTGATTATGGTGTTATTAAAACTTTTGTAACACTTATCCAAATCTTGTACATGTTTCTTTGGCCTGGCTGCCTTTAACATAAATGTATAGCAACGTGTTTGTTTAGAAAACATTACAAAATCAAAGTTAGAAAGCCAGTATCAGACAAACAAACAAAACTCACTGTACCAAAAGAAAACAACAGTTCACAGGGTTCTCCCCTACCTTCAGAAAGGCCAAGAAGAAAAGAGACAACGTAAGAGGGTAGCCCTGGCACTGCTGGAGTGATGAAGATGAGTCACTGCTAAGGAGTGATGAAGATGAGTCTGTAGAATATGAGTATGTAGAATAATCTGATTATAGTTTGACCCTTATTTTCACCTCTCTTTCCCTCTTTTGTCCTCCTAGATCAAATCTATTAATAATGGTAAAGCAGTTGTTACAATGCTGCACTAAAAATCATTAGTAAGCAGGAGAGAGCGGGGTTGTTAGACACACACAGAAAACACTGGGCAGATGAGACGTGATGGCAGACTGTTGACATGGTTTCCTAAATGAAGCAACCAGGAGTACCTCAGAGATCAGGGTTATTTAATATATTTATGAGTGACCTGTACCAACAACACAATCCATGTATTAGCTGTATGGGTGAAACCTGCTAACAAGGCAAGAGCTGGGAGTCAGTGCCAGTATAGAAGACTGGAAGTGGATGGTGGTGTCCAATGCATTAATAAAAGCAAGTGAAAATTAATTAAAGCCCATGTCTGCACACTAAGGAACTAGGAAGAGTTTCAGCTACAGATGGGAGTTTACAAGTGAGACTCTCCAAGACAGACAGGAGGATCTCCGAAGGTCACAGGATGACCCTGTGGGGCACTGGAGGGATGCAGCTGGGAAAGAAGCAGATGCAGGTGCAGGGTGTAGCAAGTGCATATGCAGGATTATCAGTATCTGCTTTCCAGACCAGTATCATTTGTGATCTGGGTCACTTGTCCTCAGGAAATGTGAAATGTAATCATGTGCAGAAAGCTGTTCAGGACAAGATGGAGCTTGCCTTGACTTGAGAGAACTGGTTAAAAAACATTGCGGTCACTAACCAAATGGACACGGAAGGGATATTTTTTTTTTAAAGGCTTTTGTTTCTGACTCCAACAGCCTTCCCCATCAGTGCTGCCCAGGTACATGTGGAAAACTGAAGACGACAGGGAAGCAGGACTGGACGCACTTACCAGCTCCTCTGCAAGGCATGAAGAGCGATTGTGGGAACTGGTGCTCAGCCAGTGGGTCTGCCATATAAATGATGGATGGTAACACTTTTCACCACTTTAAGGCAGCAGCAAATATTTTCAAGCATGGTGATCAATTTTATTCTCTAGCATCTAATTGAACATCAGTAAATATGTTATTAGGATGCTTGACAGTGTGCTCTTTTGCAATCAGGGCTAAGATGTAGCCAGATACTCATCTTAATCTCTCCAGACACATTTCTAATGATTTTTTACAGTGCCTAGAGGAAAGGTCCCTGGTCTGAAGTGGGGCACCTGGGTGATAAAAGCAAATTATAGTTAATAATATATGGCATTTGTGATGTCAGATTGTCATCTAGACAGTAGTAAAACTTTGTAGTATAGGCTACTGCTAGAATCCTATTAATACATTTACTTTAAATCACTCTGAAGGTGTAGGATGTTCCTTTGTTGACAGTACTTTCTCTTGAATATTTATATTTAACTCCCTATTTACGGTCTATGAAGAAACCGCACAATACTGAGAGAAACTGTATTTTGAAATAACTCTATTGTATCACAATGTTTTGTTATTATTCTGTCCTGTGAAGATACAGATTAACTTCCTTTCTTCTTACCAGAAATATGGTGCAAAGTCAAGGCTCTGTACCCATTGCAGAGCACAACTAGGGAAGAGAACTATGCCTACTTAGCATTAGTGTACTGTCTCCTTGACTACTTGGTCCTCTATTTCTTTGAGTAATCGATCCACGGTTCTAAAACTTTTTGATGTGTGGTTTTCTGCTGGAATGGAGGAACTTTTTTACTCCTTTATATATATATACATACAAATTTTACTTAAATAATATACAAATAAAATATACAAATACACAAATATGCAAATTTTACTTTAAATGTCTGCTGAATTCTATCATATATGAAAGTCAATCACAACAGTGATTGGCTAGAGAAATGGATTCTAGTTCTCATTTAAATTCACATTTCTAGTCAACCTAATTTTACTACAAGAACATTTTGTTTTCCTTTGACCCCTAGATTTTCTTATACTTTTTGAACCATTGACCCCGTTACAGTGCTGGAAAACGTGCAGGGAACTACACTGAAATGAGTACCCAAGGTGTTTCAAAGCTCAAACACAAGCTGTTTGGGTAGTGTAGTTGGCTTTGAGTAGCCTTCTCAATAACTTAGTTCAGAAAAGTTCATAACCAATCTAGAACAGAAAAGAAAAAAATCCATTCATCAACTACTGCAGTGAAACTAGAAAGGGTTTTTGTAATAATAATGACCCCACACACACACACAAAATATGAATTTTAGTGGTCTCCTTTTCTTCCAGCTCTATACTTATCACCATTGTTAGTTGAAGCTTATACGTGTGAAAGCACATGTATGTTTTTGTCGGGGGGGGGGGGGGGGAATATGGTGGTGGTGGTGTATGGCATTGCTTCTGGAAAACAAAAATTAAACAGATGCAACTGTTTTGCAGACAATTATCAAATATTCCGCAAACTACAAATAGCTCCTGGCAGACCTGAATTAGAGGACATGAAAATTGACTGCATTAAGGTATTTATCAGGAAAGCCTGAAGCAACATATGGTGGATTAATTTCCAGTAAATCATTATTATTAGATATTAAATATATTTTCTATTAATTGATTACTAGAGTCTTTGGACATTCATCCTTGACCTATAGATTATTTTTCTTGGGTTTAGGGAACAGCAATCAGTTAAGCAACTGCAATGAAAGTGGTAATATGACAAAGTCTACCTGAGCAGTGGATGCCCAGAAGGGCACATCTGAGCCATAAACCCAGGCAGAGGTCAAATGCACAAAAGCAGTCATTGAACTGAAGCATATGTACTTCCTCAGAAACTGAGGTTCCTGTGGTGCCCATCTATGCCGTGGTCTTTTTCCTGCCAGAGGGCTCTTGGAGAAGCTGTCTGCCATCACACAGCAGGCCAGCAGCAGAGCAGGACTTGTGTCCCCTGAGCCCTGTCCCACCAACTGGGAGCAGATTGAGCACCTGGCCCTTTCGCCCAGGTGAAGGTGGGTGAGTGCAACACGACTTCAAACTGGGTGCGATGCTTGCTGAAATACAAATACTCACCATGTCCCTGTTCTGTCAGGGAGCATAATGAAACTCCCACTGCCAACTGCAAAATCTAGAGGCCTGATCTGAAGGGTGCCACTTTTTAACCTTGCAGCATGGCTGCAGAGATAAAAGCAGAGTGGCAGAATATAGTAATCTTCAGGATGTGTGGCATCATTATCGTCAGATGCTGCATAAGCCTGGTACAATAGCTCCTACCACATCTCATTTGAACTTGAACTATACCTTCTTTAAGGCAGAGAAACGTTTTGAAAATTGCCTGAACATCATAGCACTTTTTAAAGGTATAATTTTCAGCTCTTCCATTGACTACTTTCTGGGCAAGTCAGTAGTTCACTTTCCCAGGATTTATTTGTCAGTATCACAGGGATAACTGTATTTGCCTGCGAGTATGGAATACTGGAGGGTCCTGCAATTTCTGTAGTTTCATATTGCAGATTATGTTGATGTGGAACAGTATCTTCAGTTTACAAATACATTCATTTCCTTTCTGGAGCAGGTGGTTTTCAGGAAATAAAAGCCCATTCCTAATCAGGCAGGGAAATGAGGGCAGCATGGCATATCTAAAATGAGACAAAATGTATGCAAATTTAATATAAGAGTGTTAACTTCGCTTTTTGGACAACAAGAAAATATGAAAAATGATAATATTATTTGAATCAAATTCTATAAAATTCTGTTTTGTATTATTGTTAACCCAGCCCCACTGGGTGTGGATAGCTGGGGTTTAAGAAGAGGCCAAGGCCACCTACAACCAGGAGTCACCTGTTCACTCAAAGACTATTCAGTTAAAACCTTTCCATTTCCAATGCCTTTTCTGAAACCAGGTCTCAGGTGGCACATCCAAGACCAGACTAACTCTGCCATCCATCATGGTCCGTCGTGGTCCTTCCCACCTGCATGATTCCTGGATTGCCAAACCCAACGTATTCGTTAAATGCTTTTTAAACTCATAGCCTAGCAGTAAGAATTACCTGCCAGACTAACCATGGTCTGTTGGAAATCTCAACAGGCACATTCTTGTCTGTAGCAACTGTTCTTCTCTTAGTATTATTCTCAATTTTATTGAAGTATTCATCCAAGGCCATAGCTGCTGCTAAAAGCTCTTCATATAGACCTGTTAACAAAAATCTTTGGATTCACCACACTCACCTTTAAACACCCACAGAGCATGCCTCTTCTTCTCTGAACTCCCCTTATATTTGTGTGAGAGAAATAAGCACCAGGTCATCTCACCCTGAACTAGGGATCTGAAGTAGGTCATGGGAGTTGTGCTCCAGAAAGCCCATTTTTTCCTACTGACTAAAGGGAGGCTGCCTGATTTATTGGGATCACAAGTGTTTTGATGTGATACATCACTGGAAGATGTTTTTTTTATTTGATGGTTAATTTCTGCCTCATTTGCACCCGTTTGTTCTTACTAATAACGGTGGAGCTGCACAAGCATACTTAAAGACAAGTTGTGGTCCATTATCTCAGTATGTTAATGAACTCTGGGTTGTTTTTTTTCTATATTTCATGCCAAAAAAGCTGGGTGTGGGGATGAATACAAAAGTATTTTGTTCATCAGATTTGCCTTCTGCTCAGGGATACAAGGAGGCTTTCAGTGAGTGCAGAACATATTTTATTAATTCACAAGTTTTGTTTTGCATGTGATGCAAGTATTTGTTTTGCTGGATTCTCAAAACTTCTGGAGAAAAAATAAAGCATTGCCACATAAATGTCTTTCCAGAAAACAAGCAAACAAACCAAAGAGCCAAGATCTTCAACTTGGCGCCGCTCAGCTGACATCAGCCGCTTTGCACAAGGAGGGAGCATAGCCTGGACCTGCTGTAGCTGCATCAGTACAGATGAAAAACAAAGGCAAAGCTTCCACCGATCAGGGTTTTGTTTGGAAAGGACATTTGTTTTTTGTGCACATACAAGCAGCACCTGAGGAATAGAGCAAGTTTTATTTCCCAGGGACCCTTTAGGTATAAGGAAAACCAGGGCAAGTAAGTTTGGAAGAAACAGGAACCAGAGGAAAGCAGGGAGTATTAGCTACAAGTGAATGGGACAGTCCTTAGGAGGATAATTTTCTCCTTTTAAATGTGGTGCCCGTATTAAAATTTCTCCCAGCAGCATGTGCATGACTGATAGTCACTCAGCTGCTAGCGCAAAGCAGCAGTGACCCTGGCACCAATACCGAGGCAATATTTACAAAAGGATGAACTATTTTCGAACAATGTCTCCAATGTACTAAGCACAAACAGGCTTTTCTTCGACATCAGGCATGCATGTTGTCTCGTTCCAACGATTTTGTTCATGTACAAATGTATTCATTGTGGACAATGCAAGGAAAATGTCATTCTCTATTTATATCCCAGTTTCCCTTTGTCCTCTTTACAGTATCTCTGGGCAGTGATGCAGAGCAGAGTCTTACTCTAAACTCATGTTGTTTTCCTCCCCATCTTCCGAAGCTCTCACAGTTGCAGACCTGCAGAGAGTTAAAAGGCTCCCTAGAGCAGGTTTGTTTTTTTTGGTTGAGACAAAGATCACTTCTCTCTCCCTGCACTTCCCAGCAAAGAAGATCCAAGTCTTGCTTCTTGCTCCATCACTCAAAGTACATAATGGTCTTGGCAGCGGAGGATGTGGTGGTAGCAGTGTTTTGAGCCATGTAAGTGGATGCACCTGGCATGAATAGGCAACGTTAAGGCAATTCTCCCCCAGTAATGTATGAAACTATCCACTTCATGAACAGCCTCTCTGTGATAAAGGCTGCCTTTCTGTTGACTTGGATAAGTTCCCCAGTATGGTCAAACAGAATAATGGAGGACTTTGAAAGAAGGGCCTTTGCACAGAAAATAATTAATCTAGCAGTGGAGGGGCAGGGAGAAAGATTTAGTGACACTTGAAAACAAAAACCAAACTCCCAAGTCCTAGGCCTTAACTAAAAGCATGGGTGCAGACTTGAACTGTGTTTTCATTGTAGAACAAATCATCTGTCCTGAAAGCATCATTTCTGGGCAGGGTGGTTGGGTAGGAGTTCAGAATGTTATTTTAAGCAACACTTCAGGGAAATGCCATTTTGCCTTTCAAGTGTTGTCTGATTTTCTTCAAGGTGGAAATGTCCACTGCTCTCAAGTGCGGCCTTCCACTCTGCTAACCTTCAGTTTATCGGTAAACTGATAAGCATCATTTTAGCATTTAAGCACAGCTTTAAAAAATCAATTGATGAAACTACTTCTTCTACAATTAAAAACACTTTAAATTGTAAGCTCAACCTTAAGTGGAGTTTGCCTTTAATAAATTTCTGCAATCTTTCCAACCATGTGTATACAAACAAAATATTCATACATGCCTCGCTCAGATGAAACAGTGAAATGAATATAACACATTCCACATGTTCTAAGAAGCTGAAAAACTTGCATTTCTGAAGAAAGAATATGTAACTGTTTCCCAGTGTGAGGCTCCTGAGGCCTGTACACTCACTTGAATGGATCTCCCAGTAATGAACATTCTTTATACACAGGATTTACATCCAACTCACTGTCAAGCATCAAAGCATTCACTAATGCTTATAGACTTTGTAAAAAAGTAACTTTTTTCCCCCAGATAAAATATCTGAACCAGGTTAAAGCAATTTTGTTCTCTGAAAGAAAAGTTTCAGACTTAATGAATATTACTAAATGAAAAATTTTTAACCACATGCATTTTAGATAAAAGTTATATATAACACCAAATAAATGAACCCTTCTTGTAATTCGTACTTCTGATAATGCATGATTTCATATGCTTTAGCACATAAAAGATTAGATAGCTTTAAAATTAGAACAGTCAAACTTTTAGCACAGCATGAGATGAAGATAAGGAATATTCAGTCACTGAAAACATCTTTCCTTCATCACTGTCTTTCTCATCCTTAAGGAATTTTAAAATGGCAATTGACCAATTCTTAACTACTGGACAAAAATAACTTTTATTAGCTGGAAAACATTTTACTTTCAACTTTGGGGTGTAGGGATAAACTGTCATGTGAGGGCATGCCTTATCGTTGGATTGCTGGTGGTAATTCTGACATTTAGAGAGATGAAGAAAACCCCTAAGTGATTGAAAGCTATGCAGAACCCTCAAGATTAAATGAAGATTAAATGATCATCTATTATGGATGTATGCAATATATATGTTTTCAACAGTTAGCTGGCAGCAATCACTCATTCTTATTTTTCATGTTTCTCTGTTTGGAAAGTAGCATCTCCCAAAGTTAATGCTGGCATCTCCAAATACAGGTAGTTTTGAAATCAAATAATTTGGTTGCATTCTAGGTTGGTTTTTTTTTCCAAACTTGCTAACATTGTGTTATTACCATATTGAAAAAGCCCAGAAGAACAACTGATCAGTCCCTTTTCAGATAATGAAAGCCTTTGGAAGTGTTTTAATATGACTCGAGTCTCTAGTGAACAGCGGGGAAAATATGCTCTTTTCAGCAAAGTTTTTAAAACTGTTTTCTCAATTTGCAAAGAGCTCCACTTTGTACGTGTCAATACAGAAGACCTTTTCTGCCAAAATGTATCATTTTATCTAAGGGCAAACCTTGGAAAATGCTACTTAGCAAGTTCTTTTAATCAGATGATACATAATGAATGATTGCATCTAATGATATTTTATGCTTTTGTTGGTTCTGCAGCAACTGGTATTACTGTTTTTTATAATTTCACATTTCTTAGCAACAAAAAAGTTCAACTTCTGTTGTTGGAAGCTATGCTGAGATTATTTTCACAAGCTGCTCGATTTGTCTGCTCTTACATCTGACAATCAACCATAAGCAATTGAGAAACATTTTCTGCACAAACTACATTAAGCCTTGTGGCAATTATTGCTATCTTGGCTGATCCATTCAAAACCATTCCTCCACTTAATGCAAAAACCTAAAGCTTTTTCTTTTCAGACTGCATATCTTGCCTCTCAGAAGGCGTGTTACCACTACAGTCATGGTCAGAATCCAGGTACAGATGCAATGCAATAGATCAAACTTACATAGACTCAATGTCAGCTTATAATAATCCTGATTATTCCCACTCTCTGATGGGTCAGTACACCCCTGCACACTGTGCCAGACCTACAGGTAGTACTGAGCCCATTACTAAAGTGTGTGGTCACCATTTTTAGATTTTAAAGTTTTGCACATGAAATGAACCTAACTGCAGTACTTCTCATATCACCACCTCTCGTCTGGGCTTATACTTAAAATATATCCTTTTGCATTTTGGTCATGGCCCAGTTTGTAAATAAAATTAGGAGCTTTTGGGTTTAAAGGTACCATGTGGATGTAATGCCTGAAATAAAAGAGGATTCGGGAAATAAGAGAGAATTCCTTAAACTGAGAGCCGCGGGTGTTATTTCTACCTTGGGCAAGGTGCATCTACAGGTAGCACAAATACCCAGAGACTCATTTGGGAGACTCATTTGTCTCATCCACCCTGCACTGGCTACAGGCTGTAGACACATGCTTGATTCTCTCACTGCCCTTCCAGTCCCATGCGGGGCAGGGAGCCTTTTGGACCTGGGTGGGAGCATGCAACCAGCATGGCAAACCCAGCCCCATATACAGCAACCCTATGCCCATGCTGTCCCTGCCTGCAGCAGTTAAATAAATGAATCCTCTTTATTTCCTGGTCTTCTCTGAATTGAAGACACATCCTATAGTTAGCTGTTTGTATTTCCTTGCAGCACTAGTAGTCTGTGTTATGCATGTCAGCCACTGTGATATATGTGTATTACTGTTGTTACTGGGGCAATGAAGTGCAAACATTTGTTTATTTCATTATTCAACTTGTATTTTATTCTGCAAAGTTAGCAGATTACTTCAGATAATCACAACAATTTTGCCAGAAAAAATCAACTCTCTGAGCTGGCTGGCTCTGCGGAAGAATGCTGCACAACTGAATCCTCCATTCATAAACCAAAGGTTTTCTTCTGCAGCAGCAAGTGCTAGACGTGTTGTTTGGGATCTATGAGGGAGGCTACATGACCCCAAAAGGGCCATAGCTCAGTGGCTGAGGAGTCGGGAAGCTCCTGGTCTGGCTGGCTGCATGGGGGCACATTGCCTGCATGCTGCAGTCCCACCACTTGACAAACACCGCATCTTCTTGGGCTTTTATCTCCCTGACCTGCATTCCCAGACCTGGGCCAAACATCTCTCAGACGTAGGCGGATTGAGAGATGGGGCCAGACAGACCTCATACCTCAAACTCTTTGGGAGAGTGCTTATGGGGCTGAACAGAAACACTGTACTCAGCTGCCCTGCAGTTGAGTCGAATCACTGACATTCTGCTCAGGTTTTCAGGCGAATGCTCCCACTCTCTCCAGGCAAAACATTTGAGGAAGATACTGGGTGAATTTCAAGTTTTACTTGAGAAGCTAATAAAGAGTGGGCTTCAGTTTTTATTTCAGTTTGAAGTGAGCCTGTAAACGCCAGGTAATTTTCAAGTCATGACAAACAAATGGTTGGAAGGGAGAATAAATGTTGGTACAAATGTTGGCACCTGACAGTTTTCAGAAATTTGGCAGCCATCTTCAATATCACCACCTACTGTGGGTCTAGGGGAGTCAATGGGCCGCACCTCCTTCACCGTGACTGGGGTATCCAAACATCTGAAAGAGAATCAAATATCATCATGCTGATCACTTTTTTTTCCCTGTGGCCAATTACTCTTCCTAATGAAGAGGATGATTTGTTGATTAAATGGCTTTTTATTTCAATGTGTTCCCGTGAAATCAAGATCGTGACAGTGACAGGTCACTGAAAGGTGACTTTCATGTACTTGAGCACTTCACACTTTCTAGGTCAGGGAGTCCTG